GCCGTGCAAAAAAGTAAAGTGCGGGTTTTGAAAAATCCAGAATATTTTAACCTTAAATTTAAATAAATTTTAGTCTTTCATTATTAAGATTTTGTAGACAGTTTAGCATTTTAGGATCCTTAGAGGAGCTAGATTATATTTTTCATGATAGATATCCCAAATAAACAACAATCAAATAAGAAAGCATGAAAATAAAAGCAGTCACATAATAAAGAAAAGGCAAGCTAATCAAAATAATGAATAGGCCGGTGTTGTTATGAGAGCAACATCTCCCAAGAAAGTAGTAAAAGCGGATGGACTCCACATATACATGCCCAGTCCTAATTCTATACAACAAGTACAAATTAGACTTAAGGTATGGGGCACGAGCTGCTGCTCCTGGTCCCAGTCACGTAGTTCGACGCATCATACACCTTGTAACTCGAGCCCGTATCTTATTTCTGATACAAAATCGATCCTAGAACTCTATCAAATATATGATAAAATAAAACAAAGGACTCAATCTGTAGAAAAAGCTAGCATGGATTAAAATGCAACTCATATTAACCGTGCTTGGTGAGAGGATCATATAGTGGCACCTGCAAGAAAGAATTTCAATGAAACCATGAAATTGCTCCTCGTAATAAATCTGTGTGTATATTTAGGCATGACTCACTGTAAGAAAACCAACCTAATATACTATTGTGCATGTCCACACTTAAAAAATATACAAAAGCACAAGCAGAATGATACCTAATTAGGACAACCAATCCAGCAGAGAACTATAGCTAGATATCAAAAATACTACATAACATCCTAGCCCTAGCCTAGCACACCATCTAATAAGAATTGTCCTAACCAGCATTTAAGTGCAGGGTAAAGTATCCGACTATGTATGGCTTTAACGGGATCGTCGATTCTAGCCCCATCCCAAAGATTGAATGGATCTAAAGAGTGTAACCCAAAATGGATTTCTAAAGGTTCAGCCTTACATTTGACCCAATTTGTTATTTGCCTATCGTGGATCAATTTGTTATTTGCGTATCGTGGATACTATAAAAGGAAAATATGTATTTTTTTAAAAAAAATAGGCCCATTAAATGCGGTCTCGTGACATGCAAGGTGACACAAGTTAGATCCCTTAGAAATTTAACACAACCATATTTGTGTTAATCCTGATACAATAACTCAAATTATTCAATGGGATTTACCCAGTGAATAATGTTTGTTAATGCATCGTGACCAACACGAGGTCACTCTCCTGATGAGTTTAGACGAGTTTGAAACGTTATTGAAATAGACATACGAATATAATGCACATGCAAATGACAAACTTATGAGCAGACATTGTGCACTCGAATTATTCATTGGTTCTAAGGCGTTACCTGAATTAAGCACACAACGTGTTGTGAAGTGACACCATTTTTTCTAGAGAAAATCACACATTGGGTAGGCTTGATATGCAAACCATCCTTGAAGAAGACAATAAGTGTCGTGGTGAGTGTGCGAGAAACAGTGAATCCAGGAAAGGACATGAGTGTCGTGAACACTCAAAATGCTATGCGAGCAAAACATGCAGGGATGCACAAGCGAAAGTGCAAATACGTGCAATATGCAAGTGATCGGTTGATCAGACCTTGGTGGCCGATCAACCAAGGCCTAATCAAACTGAAGTGGTTTGGTTTTGTGACGAGCCTTGGTGATCAGTCGAACCAAAAGATTGGTTTTGTGATTGGGTCTTTGTGGCTGATTGAACTGAAGTGGTTTGGTTTTGTCACTGAGACTTGGTGGTCGGTCAAACCAAAACATTAGTTTTATGACCGGGCCTTGGTAGCCGATTGAACCAAAGTGGTTTTATGATCGGACCTTAATGGTCAGAGAAATCAAAGGATTGATTTTATGATCGGGCCTTGGTGGCTGATTGAGCCAAAGTGGTTTTATGATCGGACCTTAACGGTTAGGTGAATCAAAGGATTGATTTTATGATCAAGCCTTGGTGGCCAATCAGACTGAAGTGGGTGCTTATGCAAAGGTGACATGCAAGACATGCAAACAATGTGCAAAAACATGCAAGAGACATGACATGCAAGTGAAGCAAGACAATTGAACCTTTATGCCGATCAGGGCGGTCAACCAGGTGCTATGACCAAGAGGGGTCAGTCGGGTCGGAGAGGCCAACCATACCAAAGTGATCAGTCGATCGGGTCAGGTTAGTCGATCGGATCTATGTGTTCAGTCAATCGGGCCGTGGTGGCCGGTCGGATCTATGTGACACTTACAATGTATTACATGCAAATTGAAATTAAGCATCTGCATATGCAAACATTTGTGTTCGATTGCGAGCTTTAATCATCATAGAATCTGAGATAGGTACCTAAGTTTCAATGCATGGATGTGCGAAATAGTCTCCGTCTTTGGCAAAGGTTGTTGGGAGTTTTGCCCATCCAATTTCTCATTAAAGAAAAACTCTCCATGAATCATAGAATGAACTAACTACAAAGCTTTCTCCATCCTACAATTCTCTGCAACTTTTGTAAAATAGACTAGCTACAAATATTTTTCCATTCTATAAAATCCAAGTTTTCCAACACCTCCACATATGGTTGGAAACATCAAAGCTAGGGGAAATTCAGATTCCAATTGCTTAGGTTTTGGTCTGAGGATTTTACATGAGAAATCTCTTAGATTTGTTATGGATTTGTCTAGGAAAGCTTTCCTAACTTAAGGGCTTTCTCTAGGAAATCGAAATAATTCTAATATTCTATAACACATACCTACGGATGGCTAGAAAAGAAAGCATAATAGTACTCTAAGAATCTTCACTTTCGTGTTGATTATTTATAGTGTTCTCTTTTGTTGTTCGAGTTCAGGCAAAGTTCCAAAGAAGCTCCGATGAGGTTTGTTCTACTTCTTCTCCAAAAAATGTCAAAACTCTCCGCTAAAAGGAGAGCTTGGCGAAGTCCTGAGCTCCGATGAAGTTTCAGCGGAGTTCAGACGATCCTTCCCCAAAGTATAAAGAACTCCTTTTTTCTTAGGAGAGTTAATGTCTTGCTGATTCATTAGTGCACCTCCTCATCAAGAGAGTCTTCTCGCACACTCAAGGAAAGTGGTGGAGGAAGATGAAGGAGATCGCGAAGAAGAAAGCGCCTTGTGGAAGAAGAAGGGGCTGTAGAAAACCAAGCCTTATTCCTACCTTTCTCCAATGATCTTTCCTTCAAAGCCTCCAAGAAAGAAACCCTAGCTCCAAGGAAGAAGAAGCCCATGTCCTCTCTCAAAACCAGACCCCAAAAGCTAAAGAATGGAGGAGATCCCTACTTTGGAGGAGCTAAGAGATGAAAAGCCAACCAACCCAAAAATTTTCTTCTTATTTTGCCAAAAATGTTCTTGCTACATCACCTTAGAAGCTTCTAAAAGGGGCCTAAAAGAGGTATTATCTTACTCTTTTTCCATCGCCAAAGAAAATCCCCCCAAAGGCCCAAGGATATCCATATTCTCAGTTGCCTAGTTGAGTGCACTGGTGTAAAAATTATGAAAATTGCATGATAAAATCTGGGGCAGAAAATGGTCGGGTGCCTAAGTGTGGGGTTCTCACACCTAGGAACTAGGCATGGTGCCTAGTCACTGGGCACCTAGCACCTACTTTCTACCCTCTTGGGTTTTCATATCATTTTTGGGTTGTTTCAAGCACCTAGGCAAGGAAAACTAGCACCTGTGCACTGGGCCGGATGTCTAGGCGCCAGGACCTAGCACCAAGTTTCTATCAACTTGGGTTTAAGACCATTTTAGGCTATTCTGGGCGCCTAGCTACCATGACCTTGTGCTGGAGTACTAGGTTATAGCGTTGAGGCGCCAGGGTCCAACATAAGGGCACAACAGGCTAGTCCAATGAGGTTAAATTCGTGCAGAAAAATGTTTTTCGATTAGTAAGTTATGGAAGACTTTATATGACTGAAATAGGCAGTGCTACTTATCATCTTTCTAGTTTATTCATAGAGAAGACTTTATATTCATCTTCCGCTCACCCACCAATTTGATATTCATCCGAGTTAGAAATTTTACCCTATTCAGGGTGGTTTCATTCCAATCTCGGATTGGAGTTAAAGATTTGCTACATTAAAAAGGGGAGTTTCTCACATATTTAAGGTGGTCTCACATCCTAAATAAGAGAAATGCTTGTTAACTGTTTTTAGGGAAGGGAGCCCTAAACTATTCAAGAGTCTATCTCCAACTCAAAGATTTGTTGGGGAAAAGATGTTTTATTCCCATTAAAGGGGGATTATTTCCAAACCTCACTTTTTTTTTTTTTGAACTAGTCTAAGATAGAAGGCCTTACTCATTTTAGGGTCTTATTTCCAATCTTATGAGCTAGTTGAGGAAAGGATGCATTTATCCATTTAGGGGGGGCTTACACCAAACCTCACATTTTATTTTTGAACTAGTCTAAAGATAGGAAGCATTGCTCCTTTTAGGGCGCTTATTTCCAATCTTAAGAACTAGTTTGAGGAAATGGATGCCTTAATCACATTTAGGGGGGTTTACTTCCAAACCGTAAATTTTGATCTAATATGCTTGTTACATTAGGGGAAATGCCTTCCTCCATTAAAGGGGCCTCACAACCAATCTGAGAGCTACGCAAGGTAACTATATTGAGAAAGGCTGAGAACTAACATAGTAACTCATTCATTATGGCCAATACAGAACATAAAAAGTTGCAGATACTTGGTGCAGGGACACGATTCTAATGAAGAATTCCTTATCACTAAAAGGATACCTGAACTATTCATGCATTTCACATAATAGCAGAAAAAAATGTAAAACATCATGATTTTAGCATCTAGAAGTCATTTTATTAATTTTAATATCTATTTAGCTTAATTATAACATCAGATGAATTTTAATACGCCGAGCTTATTAATAATTTAATGAAACATGCATACGATGAAATACCATATGAATTTCTTTCAATGTCACAAAACTTCTGCTATGCATCAAAGATTCATAGTAATGTGATGAAACAAATGAATAAGGTCATGCATAAATATCAACTACTCTGATTGGAAAAGGATATTTGCCTATACAACAACAAACTTTCACCTCATGAACTTTAGGGCGAGCAAAAGTACGAAAATAAGAAGAATCAGCCTTGGTATGATTTCAAGTTTCAAGCCTTGCATCTGAATGCTTTAATTATCATTCCTCCTGTAAATAGTTTGCTTTCAGCTTACTTGTCTGGCAGCACACATGAAGAAACATGACATTTAAGCACATCAGTTAGAGTTGAAATGAAATCGGTTCAAAGTACCAAATATGCTAAAGTTTCATATGATCTGGCTCAATAAATGTATCAACACCAGCATTCATAAATTTTTACTAATTCACAGAGAATTTGAATTCAAGCCAAGCCGCTGTCAACAAAAACAAGAAGGCTAGAGATGGACTCTAAATCATTTTAAATCATTCACCAGCAGTAATATTTGCATAAGGCAAAATATCAGAAGTTAATCAAACTAGTGTTCAGACTGTTGATTCAGGATTGATAGATTGTTGAATCTTTCTGAATTCCATAAAATGCCAGAGTATTCTGCTGCTGAAGCAACTTCCCAGCATACATGAGCTTTAGATTTGGTCGTTTGAAACCCATCTTGCTTACAATCTTGGTGATGACAATGCCAACTGTATCACCTGCTTCAGTTGTGATAGTTATGGTCTTTCCAGTTTCAATTTTGACAAATATTTGCATTGGAACAAGCAGACGAAGAGCAGCTTTCTGCTTTATATTGTAGAATGATAAAGTGAAGCTATCCTTGAGCTCAACATCACTATGAAAAATTTTCTGATGAGTTGTAGGAATTCCTATTAAACTCTCAACAATGACCTTGACATCCTTGATAGTATTTCCTGCTTTCACTTCAAGACTGAAGCTGTGGCCGCTGGTCGTGTAGACATAGAGAAGAAGCTCAGCTAATGGATTCACTATTACATAAATAGTAGAATCCTTTATGACACCATATGAAATTAGCACCTGATCATCATTGAGTGCTTTCCCACAGAAAACAAGTAGCTGCTGATCTGAAGAAATTCCCACTTCAGCTTGAATCATAGCTTTCAGTTTCTGCACTGTGGCCATATAATTCAGACGAAGGATAAACTCTTTCTCCATTGACGGGATTTTTATGGAAATTGGCATTCTCCCTTCCACATGAACATCAATGGTGGAATCAGTGGAAGGAATGTAATCAGATAGTTTCTTGCTATTTTCAAGACGATTCCCAGCTAGAAAGAGCTCTTGCTGGCTGATTGAAGTCCCTTCAATCTTGCAGATTTTGTCTTTGATGCTCTCAATTGTATTGGAGCTCAAAACTTCCAGGGTAAGAGATTTAATAATTTTGAAGGAGACCTTGATCTAAAGCAGAAAGAAATAACCAAAACTGTTGGTCATTATAAGTAACTTATCATGAGAAAATGGAATTTAGTAGAACAGGTCAACTTGATTATAACCTAATGTACAAATCAATTCGATACGAGATTTATACCATACAAAGCATAAGACATTTCACGTGCAATACAATCAAAATCATATACAGTCCCTACTCTCTTTTGAGAAAAAACAATCAAGCAGGGAGCTGCTTTTCGGGGCCACACCACAAGCCCACAACCCAGTTAGCGCAATTAGTTGAGGAAGCTGCTGCCCACCTCTGAAAGAGAAAAAAGTCTGAAATAGTCCTTAGAGGGCATTTTCTAAGCAATCTCCGAACAAACTTATGACGCTTGCCTCTCCATTTAACCTCTATGGGCTGTTTGGTAGCTGGATTCAAGCAGGATTTACTGTAAAATCCTTTCAAAAGGTTAAGAAGTTTAAAATAAATACTACTGGTTTCTAAGCCCAGTTTTACCTCCATTTCAGCCTAAATATCAAATTTACTAAATCTAAGTTTGCATTTCAAAATCATATAAGGTTTTTTTATTTGAAGAATTTTTGGTATAAACTATGCAAGGTACAAAAAGTTTAAAAATGTTGGCGTTTGATTTGATTGAAAAATAATTTCAGATGTATAGCCAAAAAACCAGGTCCAAGTTGAAGTCCAGTTGCGAGTAGACCAGCCAATCCTACTAACCCGGCTAACCAATTCAACCAAGACAGCTCAGCCAAGTAGTTCGGCGAATCGATTGAACCCATCAGCACGGTCAATTCGATCAATCACCTACAACAGATCCTACAGTAAATTCTCCCGGCAAAACAAGTCGATTTCGTCAACTCGCCTAGGAGTCAAATAGTTTGACAAGACGCATCGATCACACATTTGGCTATTTTGTTTCATAATTTAATTCATATATTGTACAATGTATTTCTTTTTTTGTAGCATTGTATGTAGTGCAACCCGGTCTAGCCCAACCTAAAAATAAAAAGGACCATCGTAGAATATTGGGAGAGGATTTTGGAATCCTAAGAGGAACAATTCCAAGAGATTTCATACACAAATTTCTATAAAGACTCGTTTGATATTGTTAAAATTTGAAGAGATTTCCCTTTTCTTCTCAGTTCTTTCTTTTTCCTGTAGTTCTTGCCTTCTTACAAAACTACTTCCTAGGTGATATTCAATTACATATATTTCAAGATTCAACATTCTTGAAAATGTGGTGAGCATGGATATGCCATACAAACAAGATGTCGAGTTATTCATAGAGTAGAACAAAGCCACAAAGACCATTCTATTAATATGGAGTGTACAAGAGAGTTTGTTATGCAAAAAATAAATGAGCTCAGAGAGCAAATAATAGGGATGATCAAAGAAGCACCACCTCCCCAGTTACCAGCTGGTTCTCTAAAATAAATGGCATATAAAGGAAAAGATTTAGGAGCTGGGAAAAGAAGAGCCCTGTCATCTACTACAACAAAGGAAGATAGAGCATGTTGCCACATCAATATAGATTCCACTTCTTTTGATCATGGGAGATAGTATAAGCAAGCAGTTATTTGCAGGAGACGCCAACAAGAGGACGCGTTCTCCATGGAGATTTTTGAGGCAGTGCTAAAGAGTCAAGATTCCAACCATAGAATTTTATAAGGGATGATATGATCATGTTAACCATGTAACATTGTTTGGGTCAACAATGTGCCTACTAAGAATTAACGATGTACTCAAATTTATCTATTATTTATGACTCGCAAAGAGTCCACCCTCCATTTGTTCAACAACTATCAACTTGAGTTAATTACTTAATTTGTCGAGTTCAAACAGCTGTTCATTGTGTAATTCATCAGTGCCCAAAAGCTACAGAAGAGTTCGCAAGCATTGTTGTGAATCGCCAATAACCAAGAGAATAGTTGAAGAGTTTCAGAACATACTTCTATAAGATGTTGGCGATGAGAGATCTAGAGCTTTTAATTGCTCATACCACACTAGCTCATATCTCGAGAGAAGATTCATTTCGTTACTCCCTAGGTAGCAGCACCCGAGAATGTTAGCCGAACTATTGAAGTTGACCAACAATCATAGTTTTGCAGACTGCAACTCATTGCCCAGTACCTAAAGTCCAAAGCACCAGAATTAGCATTTGTCAAGGGAAAATTTTTGACGTTTCAACAGAAAAATTGGAGACTGCCATGCTGAACATGAGGTGAAGAGAAACTTCTTTAAGTAACAGCCACATCCCTTGGAGGGGCGAACACATTTTGAAGATATGTGCAGTGATTATTGGGTAGAAAGGAGGTCACCACCTCCTACCCATCCTCCATTTACAACACCATTGAGAGTCTTGATGACTTAAGTCATTGAAACTATCTAGAATATAAAGCATTTTTGGAGACTAACATTTATGAGAGTTGGGGGTCCAGAAGGCGACCCTAAGGAGCAATGCGTGTACCCCAAAGGCCATGGTCATGAAATGAAATAATGCTAGCATCTATAAAATTTGATTGAAGAATTTGTCAAAACTAATAAACCGAAAGAGTTTGTCACACCTGTAACAAACATAAGAAGATAAGAGAACGGAACCCCCAAAAAAGCTCTTAATGAGCTTGTCAAAGCACGGGCTATCCATATTGTAGAAGCACTCTCTGCCATCCTTATAGACATCGAAAAGCTTCTCTCTAGTCAAGTCTCAAGCAACTTAGTAGGGCAAGGTGAACTTGGCACGTTCTTCTTGACCTTTGATGGCTAGCCAACTACTATTATGCTACGATGTTGATCGAAAATTATCTAGTTAGCAACATCCTTATAGACACCGAAATTCACGAACATTTTCTTCAACAGAGATTATGAGAACATGAACTTCAGAACTTTGCACCGTATACCAATATTCTACATTCATAATTGTTTTCGAGTTCTATATGTTCAAACATTATCAATTTGGAATTCACTCATAAATCTTGGCAATTCATCATCTGTGGATTTCTTATCAATCCATTATTTTAAATTTATCAACAATATACCATAATAAAATTCTTAACGATTCACTATTATAAAATTTTTAGCATCCAACATTGCAAATTTCTTGTCAATTTGTCATTGGAGAATTATAGACAACTCGTGATTAAGTGAGATAAATTTGAAATTTTCTTAAGATATGTTATCCGGATTTCACAATCATGAATTCACCATTAAGCATCAACAAAATAAAATTCAACTATATTATAGTCATATAGCAAGAAAAAAAAGTTATCAGATAATAAAAATTCATTCATTTCATCACAAAAAGTATTTTACAATGGTATTAATCAATATACTTCAATAACAAAATATCATATATATGTCAAACTACCCTATTTATCGCTCTCTTCTCTCGAAGTTGGCTCCTCCAACTTCTTAAAAGTTTTAGTGTAGTACCATTCAAGAGGAAGTACTTGCGTTTCTACCCATTTTTTCAAACAAAATTTAATGTATTTCATGAATTTGTCCCACAATACCCTCTCAAATATGACAGTCTCAGACGAGTTCAAATCAGTTCCAAGGTCTTCATGATAAGTATTTCTCCTAAGTTTACTGCAACTCGCCTTTGAGCTTAAAGCATTTGATCTTCAACCTTGAGGACTCGCCTTCTAATCTTTTTGCTCTCTAGCAACGAGCTTCCACCATATACCAGAAAACATGATAATTATTTCACTTTTATATTTAATTGCCTCAAAACACTTAGATAGGTATCTCAACTATATATCAATAGTAGCTTTGTCAGTTTCCTTATTGTATTCGCTCCTTCAAGTACTTTTTGCAAATTAACCTATTTATTTTTCATTCCTAGAATTTTTTCAAATTACTCCTCTAAGACCTTGCTATTTAAAAAGAGAATTACCACCTGGTTGTTTGAATCTATATGACGAGGAGATGGAAGTCCTCAGAGGTGACTCCATGAATCTCTTTATCAAATGAAGCAGCTAGATTGGAGGGTCAAGTTGATATACGACGGGATAAACTTCTTCAGTAGACTCATACTGGTCTTGGTCAAGTCTACTGGAGTAATCGTCTTTTCCTTATTAATATACAATTTTATTTCTCTTCTGTAATTAAATTCACTAAGTAGAAATGCTAACTTTCTTCTTTTCTTAGGAAGCTCAACTTAATTAAGAGCTTTTGCAAAAGCTTTGCTCGCAGTCTTCACAAGGAGAACCTCTTTTTCTCTATCACCACCTCCATTCTTTTATATGCAGCATCTTCCTCTTCAGCTAATGGTTCAATTGCACAATGATAATGACAACCTAAAGAAGATGGCTTTCAAGATTATGATGTCATCGGAATTCTTTTTTTCTCAAGACAATTTCTCTACCACATATAAAGAGCAAGTATGGGGGTGACTTCACCTAGTGCTTCTCAGTTTCTTCTTGCTAAATGACAAAGTGTTGGCTCATCAAAACAAAAAATCATTTGAAAGCAAATTCAACAATCCATGAATGTGGAGATCTCTCCCTTTAATGGAGAAGTGCCATACATGTGAGATATCAAAACATAACAATAAAATTTATTAGACACTTGAAAAACTCGACCCAAGGCCAAAGTTGAATTGAAAATTTTAACAAGCAGCGAATAAGAGTGACTCGCGTTCAAATCCAACTTTTTCAAGATGGAGAAACTCTCTCCTTATTGGTAGACAACAATAATAATAAAGCCCTGTCCATTGGGAATGGCTGAGGTCGCATTGCAATTGGCCACCTATCCTTGCATGAAGCATAACAATGCCTTGTCTTTCAGTTCTTGATTTTGCTTTCCAGTTTGAATAGCTTGATGTCGATTTCAAAGAACACGACAAATCTGTCCTTATATGTCTTCATTGTGAATGAGTGGTGAAACAATGAAATTGGCCATAGAATCTTGTACTTTCGCATGTACAACACCATGGCCATGATTCTTCAAAACGAATTTGATGTCACCTAGGTCGGGATGATACTAGAAGTTGAAAAGATAAAACTGAAACAATTTGAATTGATCGTTATAGAAGAGCCACAAATAGTGCTCTCAAAATGGCTCGCTGCTCGCGAACAGTTCGTGTTCGACTCCTTTGAAAGGTTAAAGATCCGAACACGAATAATTTTTTTGCGTTCAATATATAAACAAGCCGAACACGAACAAAGATTTATTCATTTGCGTTCGACTCATTTTGGCTCGAAACAACTAAATTTTATATATATATATAATTGATGAATAGTATTTTTAAAAAAATTAACTGACTACAAGCCTACAAAGATTTATAATCAACTAAAATTATTAATTAAAAAATAGAATAAAAATAAATTAAATTATATTTAAATGATTTTTTAATAAAAAGAATAAGATTTAAATCTCTCTCTAACTCTTAATATCTTACGACTCTGTGTTGTCAAAACGACTCTTTGTTCGCAGCAGCTAGTGTTCAGCTCGTTAAGCAAACGAACCAAACAAATCTTACGGCTCGGCAATTACTCAATTAACATAAGTAATTCCGGTTGCTCAGTTATCAAATAGAATAGTAAAATTACTCACTAGATTTATTGTCTTCACTTGTTAGCAGAACGTAGTTATTTATTTTAATTTATTTAATTGAGCAAGTAGAGCAATTACAATTTACATTTTAGTGTATATATAACAACGAAGGCATTTAAGATTATTTGCACAACTATTTTATATTCAGATAAGTAAATCATTGTTGGTTTCGGTTTCAACATTGCATTCAAACAATAGTTTCACAACTAACTTAATAGATAGCAACAGCCGCCCAAACAAAGCATAAGATTGCCATCAAATAATTTTGATTGCAGTAAAATATTCAGAAAAAAAAATTAAAATTTTTTGAAAAGTTAGTAATGTAAAATGTGACTTGTTAAACAATTGAATTTTAATAACTAAGCCATGGAATTTAATCTAAATAAATAACTGATTAGGAATAACTTTAATCAAATGTGTGAATTAAGTAACCTATGATATTTTAGCATGTCATGAGCCTGAGAGTACAAAAGTGATACTATTTTCTTTCAAAAATAGAAAATATAGTCGATTTTGCTTGGCAAGACTAGACAGCTAATCCATCTAAAAATTATAAACCAATGTATTTTTTTTTGAGCAATCCTAATGGTCACTGGGATGGTAATCAACCTGCTACTAGTATTCTTGAATCTTTATCACTCAATGGGATATGTTGATTGCTTTGATTTTCATGCTTCTTCAAACGAACCAAAACCAATGGAAAAAATCCAAACCAGCACTATGTAAGACAATTCTCCAAAAAACTTTTTGATAGAAGACAAATACACTACTACAAAAAATAAACAAGGCTCAAATAACATGCAGATATTGATCCAAACTACCTCGTACCTATCAAGTCAAGCTTAGACCTTATCTTTATGATTTTTTTAAATATAGGATGGCGTAATCAAGAGCTAATTCAAACCAGCTCAAATACATTAACTCAAAATTATAAAATGCTGAAGAAAGAAATGGGAGAACTAAGAAAATGGTTGAACTGACATAGTAGAATTTCCCTGATTTATTGTATGTTTTGCCTAAGTCCATAAATTCACTAGAAAAAATTTATTGCTATCAAAAGTGGAATGTGCCATCAAGATGGTACGAATGTCCAAAAATTGTGATGCCAACTGAAGTGAAATTCTAAGGAAACAGCTAAATCAATCATATATTTATTTTAAAGTATAAAAATAATACCCTCAAAATAATAAATTTTCAAATTCAATTCGCTCCAAAGGAAAATCTAACTCGATAGTGCGTATTAAAAAAGTGCAATTAAAAAACACTAAGTTTGTATCATATGAATCCATTATCTCTTGCATATCACTAAGTTTATGACCATTCATTTATTCCTTTATTTTATTGGACTGCCTCTCACTACCCTCATGATTAACAAATCTTTAATTTAATGCTCTTGTACATACTATTGTTTAACATACTTTTAAGGGTGGATCAATTTTCTCCAACCCTCAATACTATTTTCATATTATCCAATATTAAATTATCATTATTAACGACAACTCATCTTCAACAAAGGCAGTATTAGCACCAATTTCTCAAATCAAGGTCAAGATAATAACCTAATTTACTGCCCATGATTTAAAAATGACACCAAGCATTATGCCTCAAATCAAGGTCAAGATAATAACCTAATTTACTGATAGCCTATAGCAAGGCATCTACTTAACCATGATTTAAAAATGACACCAAGCATTATGCCCTCACCAAATATCCTAGATGGTGAATATCACATCCATAATAGAGAAGCCCTCAAAACTTTAGCTTGGAAACTACTGAATAATTACAGAGTATTTCCAAAAAGGCTAGCCAGCCTAACTTCGTAGCTCGGCTTGACCACATCAAGAATGACTTGGCCTTGATTGATTAGGTCCATCAATACTGCCTCAACCACAAATGTACGCTCAATACATAAACTTAGAACTTATTTGGTTCACTAAAATCAACTAAATAATGTTATATTGTTAACAGATTCCAATTTTTTCTCCAATTGATATCTTTAAATATTACTTTTCTTAAACAGATATCTGATCTGCAGCCAAACACCACCTTAGATGTCTGAATATTCAATGACTAACATAAATAACAACAATACGAAGGAACATAATCAACATTAATCATTTTAGGTAGCACATGCTAGTTAAGTAAATTAATACAAATTAAGCGTGATCTATTTGATAGATAAACTTATTATCTGAATATAAATGTTATCTAGATACCACAAACAATTACGCTCCACTAAAAGAGATAGTTACAGTACAAACTGGTTAAAATTTCGTTTATGAAATAAGAAACAAATTATGCAAGCATATAGATATGGAAGAAGCAAGAAAAAATGTTGAACACCTCCCTCGCTTATGAAAAGCGGTACCTTCTTCATAGGCTGCTCTCCACTTTTCTCCGGTTGGCGCTCCATTGTTTCCGTTTGACTTCTCTAAAGCAAGCTAAACCCTAACCCTAGCGAGCAATGAAGACACTCGCCACCAGATGCAATGTCCTTGAGCGGAAATGCCCGCCCAGCCGAACCTCCGTTTCGAATTCCATCGATAAACTCGAGGATAAAGTTTGGCTTTCCGCTTATAGCAGTAGTGTACGTTCAGTGTACGTTCAGTGTACGTTCTGAGCACGGTTTAAGAAACCGGTTCCCGATTGTTCGGTCCTATTCACGGTCAAATGACCCTTGGCCCGGTTCTTAGCAGGCTACAGTCGAATGGCCCTTGATCCGGTTCTCAGCACGGTTTAAGTGGGTCCTCAGCGGGAAAAATTTAGGATCCGTTTGGGACAGCTTATAAGTGCGGACAGGATTTTGAAAATATTATCATCATGTTTAATTTGCACTTATTCCCAATTTATGAGAAATGGCATTTTAAAATTTTTAAAAGAGGCGGCCTGTTGTACGCTTTTTCGATCTGATTATTCCTCAATGACTCTGCCTTCCTCAAACGCATCGGCCCTCATCTGGCAGTTCTGCATCGCATTTCACATGCCCTAAACAGTCCCATTGTTTGCAATTCAAATTTTTTATTTTTTTGAGAAATTCATGAATATTTATATTACAAATTCCAACCTCCAAGAATTTAAAATTTTATTGGTCGAAAAGCTTCACCTTTAATCTTTCCTCTTGTAGTGATATGCAGGTTCTGAAGACAAAACTATGGATGTGGTACTAAAGGTAAAAGCATACTAGTGCATGCTTACCACTCAAAACTTATTTTTATTTACATGCTTACCATTCAAAATTTATTTATTTACATATCGAACAAATAAATTGGTATTTTTTATAAATGTACCACTCAAATAATTGTTTAAAATAAAAAATTTTAACATTTGTTTAATATATATAAAAAATTAATATAAAAAATATAAATAAATATTGTTATTTAACTATTTAATTATTTCGAGTCAAACAATTCGAACACAAACGAACAAATTTTTATTTGTGATTAGCTCATTTATGAATCGAGCCAAAAATTTTTTGTATATTAATTTACTATATTATTGCATTAATTGGGTCATATTAAATTATTTTTTATATTTATTAAGTCATTCCTTTCAACCCCCGATTCAACTCCGGTCGAGTCACGAATTAATCATTAATTTTTTTCTGATTTGATGTCTGATCCAGTTTTCAAAACATTACTTTTGAGTGAAAACTTTGAATGATTAAAATATTATAGTTAAAATTAAAATAGTTAATTTGTTAAAAATACTTTTTTTTTAAATACATATTGGTTTAATGTATTTATAACATATTTTTATATTTTATTTTTAAAAATAAATAAATAAATATTTTTTTTATTTCTAAAATCACATTCTTAATCAGACATACAGAAGTCGTTTTGTTTCTTATCAAAACATAAACAAAACAAAATTAAAAAAAGTTGAAAACAAAAAATAAGGGCGATTTGTGATCACTATTTTTTACTTTTTATGATTATTTTGTTTTGTTTATGTTTTGATT